TTCTTCTTCTTCTTCTTCTTCTTCTTCTTCTTCTTCTTCTTCTTCTTCTTCTTCTTCTTCTTCTTCTTCTTCTTCTTCTTCTTCTTCAGGTGTTAGTTCTGGGTCGGACATAAACGATCATGGTACCCCATTTTTTCCTGTTGTCTCTCTTCTAGATCAGCTCGGTTCTTCTCTTTGTGTTATTCGTTGCAAAGTTTTTCAGGCCTTCTGTGTATGTTGTTCTTTTTCATCCTCTGTTCTTATTTCCCTCTATCTTTCCACAAAGCAGCACTTTCTCTACTCCATTTGATCTATATACGTTGCAAAAGATTTTTTTTCTCTGTCTGATGGTTCCAATTTTGAATCGTTTACATCCTGCCATGTGGTGGTCTTCTTTATCTGTTATTATCTCTGTCCGTGAGATTCTGAGTATTCTCCCTAAATACCACTTTTCTGCGGCTTCCAGACTTCTCTTTGTGTCTTTGTTAAGAGTGCAGCTCTGGCATCCGTACTAAAGGATTAAACAAATGTACGCTTTCAGTGTTCTTATTTTTGTGTCCATCGATATGTTTCTATTTGAGATTATAGGTTTTATCTTGCTGAAAGTTTTTTTTCATATTGCAATCCTGGGTTTTTTTTAACTTTCTGTGTTGCTTTATCGGCTAATGATATGTCCTTGGCGTTTGTGCTTGGTGACGGGATTGCTATTATGGCAGACGGGATGGTCAAGATATGTGGTTCTTTGTTGTTCTTCAAGAAATGTTATGGTTAGTTACATACCTGGAGGTGTCATCTCTGAATCAGAGGTTGACGTGAAATGACCCTCCATCTTTCTCAGTCGCGAACTGCCGTTACACATTCTGTTATACCCAGGCTTGTCAGTGCTTAAATGTTGCCCACCCGTGTTACTCTTTGTCTTCCCCTGGCTGTCCAGTCTCATAATTATCCTTCCTTCAAGCGCCTTTGTCACAATGGTCTGGTGTCGTTTTAACATTCCAAAGTATTGCATTTATCTACGTCCTTTTTGTTATACAGGGTTGTCTTGTGTGGAGAATCTGTCTCACCTCATTGCTCGTTTTTTTTGTTTTTTTTTCTCTTTTTGTTTTTTTTCTATTTGTTGCATTCTGCGGTAGCACCACTTCTCAAACGCAGCTATTTTATTTTCTTCTTTCTTTGTTAAAGTCCAGGTCTCAGTGACATAAAAAATGTGGGGAAGATGTAGCATCCCACCATTTTCTTTCTTAAAGATAGAGAAAATTGCCTGGATGTAAATAGCTTTGTGCGTTTGACTGAATCTTGCTTTTGCATTTGCTGTTTTTACATGCATATTTATTGCTTTTTGGTTAATAACATTATGTCTCATATACGCGTTGGAATCAGGCGCTCGTAAATATTTGGGCATGTGGGGTTATTGGAATAATCCGAACGCTTGTTTATTAGTCGTACCTTCAATGAAAAAATGCACATCTATATTGAATAACAGTCGAAATAAATGCAATTGAAAAAGGTGAGGGTCACTTGGTTTTAGAGGTAGAAGTAGTGAGAAAATGACCGCAAAAGTTTTAGTTAGTTACATAGGCTGAGAGTCCATGGAATTTGATAATTTAAGTTTTTGTGCCTTAAATCAACGTTTTTAGAGTAAATTCCAGACAGTAATAGGTC